CAGTCTAGCGAAGTCAGTCCGTGGGAGCGGCTGGAGCAGGTGCTGATGGTCCTGCAACTGACCTAAAATGTCCTCCTCAAACTCCCTGTTGAAGCCCTCGTTCTCCTGTTCACTAATGGTAAAGATCTTCCGTAAATATCGCCGATGTAATTACTCTTGGTTTTCCTCCTCGAATATGTTCACGTTGTTTTGGTCGAGCAGGTAAGGGAACGTGCTATAGGTGGAACCCATCAGTCGCTTGATCCCTTTCCAGAATGCAACAGAATCGCGGTAATTGTTGGCTGCCTCCCACACCAAGGCGGCTCACTTTTGTTCATGTAGACGTTTGCTCTCGTGCTGGATGTCCGTCTGTAGCTCTCGGTACAGGTCTCTCAGCTCCTGCGTCCACCCGCGGATACTGGCTAGCTGTCTCACGTGATCGTACTGGACACTGAGCTGCCTCAGCTGGTGACTAGTTTGAGGATGGGGAATGGTTCTGTGAGTGGTGGTAGGGCCCATAGGCATGACAGCGTGGATACAATATTAAGTATTTTAACCATTCGGTACACAAGGAGGTAGCGTGGCCGACACTGAACTCGACCGCCTTTACATCCTAAACAATAAATTAAGTACCCATTTACAGCTGGGTGGTAGGTGTGCCCCCGGGATCGAACGAGTAACTCATAAAACAGGAGGAGAGAGCTATATATCTACTCCGGCACCTCTGCTGTAGAAATTGTCTTCAAAACCTGTGTGGTAATATTAATTGTTACCTGATTCTACGTCACATGACACCAACTTATTGTTTGTCTAGTACAGTAGTGTGTGCATAAAATTAGTAGACGTTACTGTATGTTATGATCTACTAAATTCTTTTGAATCTGGTATATTATGACTTTATTATTCTATTTTTTAATCCTTTTGTGTTCATTGTAGTGAAGGGGTTAGTGTTTGTACGGGTCCTGGTAAGAGGTCCCGCAAGTAAAGAAAGTAAAGGTCTACTGTGATACCAAAACGTAATATAAAGTAATGGTTTCTAAGGCAAATGTCAATAGACTGACAGGACGGATTACTTCAGTGAAATACAAAACAAAACTGTGATGAATGTACAGTAGAATAAACACATAAAACTTTACGGTAAATTAACTGAATAAAATAGTGAATAAGATGATCCATGACACTTATCAACAACAATGTTGGATACATTGTCTTTACTAATAAATAACAATAAAAGGTAAACTCAGCAGAATCACCCGGGAAAAAATACATTAAAAAGAATAACTGAACTCGGCAGATTCATAAACAGCATTCATAAAAGCCAGAAAAATGTGTGGGTAGATTTAGGTAAATTGTATAAAGTACTGTGCATATGGGAACTCCGCTGTAAGCTAGATGAACAATAAGGCTTCCAGTATATCCTCAGAAGACCGAGTGTTGCTCCAAATTTTTGTATTCCAGGCGGAGGTAACAGGTCAGGCGGAGATCAAGGCCAGAGGTACACGACCAGCATACATCAGAGAGGCCTTACTTAGCCCCACGACAATATACGAGTCCCCCTTTAACTTGCAGTCTCCCACAAAACACCCGTTTTCTGTGGAGTTCCTCGTCAGCAAAGGGGTATTGTGAGATTTTCCTGCCTGTCTGTCTGTTTGTCTATCTTTCTGCTTAGCCAAGGCAATCCTGTTTCGTTCTGGGATACTCACAGTTCTCTGCAGGTTGATACACTTTGTTGATACATTTACCACTGTACGTCTGTCTGTCTGTCTGTCTGTCTTATGAGTGTACAGTATTTCAACTTCGCCCCTTTTTCTGAATTTTCTCCCCCTAGTTTATTAATATGTCGATAATTTTCGCCATTCTCTCCTTCTCTTTTCCAATGGACCGCGCTAATGTTGAATTGGAGGACGCCTGTAAAAGGAAGAGAGAGAGAGAGAGAGAGAGAGAGAGGTGAACAATTCCCTGAACGAGTATTAGAACATTTGCGAATTATTAAGCAATATCTGATACCACTTTGTGCCAGATAATAAAACAAAATTGTACTCGTTCTAGAAATCTGTACTCATTTACCCACTCGACAAACTTGTACTCATTCTGCACTCATTCATCCATTCAAAAATTTTTACTCGTTCACTCATTCAAAAATCTGAACTCGTTCACCCAAGTGCCTCCTCACTAAAGGACAAACCTGGTGTATAGTCCCTCCCCTCTCCTCCTTAACAACAGAGAACAGAAGCGTGGGTAGTAAGACCAAAAGAAGAAAATAGGGTTAAGGTGAGGTCAGGGAGAGGTCATGGAAGAGGGATTAGATTGAGTCAAGTGAGGCCAGAGAGACAATACAAAAATGAAGAAGGAGAAAGTAGGGAGGGTAAGCGTGGAAAGAGGAAGGTGGAGGAGGGAAATAGTGGAGTAGGAGGAGGGGAATGGAGGGAAAGAATGGAGGCCCTCTTGTCATATATATGTACTGTACATTATATGTGTGATATTCTGAAATTTTAGAACGAAAATTACTGATTTAACGAACTGGCAAACATAAGTAGGGCAGGTGTAAGCACTAGGACTGCATGGAGGCCTAAAACAAAGCTATTGTTCGCAGTGCAGCCAAGCTGGGGAGTCAGAAACAAGTGACCAGCTTGCGCCACAAAGGCCTAAGAAAATTAAATGTACTTTATCAAATTAATTCATGCACTGTTGACGAACTTAAAAGCCAGTAATAATATTAACAAAAGTTATTTTGGATAATTTTTCATTTCAAAATATGTTACATGTGTCCTCAGGAAATAATTAAAATACAAGAAGAATGGCGTCATGCGTTCACGAATTATTAACATAATTACCAGAATGCCGTGGAAGACATTCATGTCCAGAATCAAAAACGTAAATAAATATTAAAATACTGATAGCCTTTCAACCAAAAGAAATAAAGGACAATCGGGGGATATTTTAATATTTTAAAAGTAAGTACAGTAGTTCCTGAGCGTGGCAGACATGCTTGAAGGCGCGGCGCTTAAGTCACTCTTTGTTTTTCACCCGCAGTAAGCGGATGTGTCTCCACCCACTCCACAATAGAACGCCCCACATGGTCATATTACTTGTAGGCGTTTTCAACCATGTTCACAAGTAAGGGAAATCACAGTGTTTTAAAGGGTGAATCATTTCAGGTTTTTTTAACGGAACCACTCGGGATGGTGGTGGCTGCGGTTAGTAGGAGGCTGCGGGCTGTAGGCTGAATTACTCACGGGGTGCCACGCTGAAGCATGCAGACATACGGGCGACCTGGTTTTCACCCGGATCTCCCAGGATACAGACAGATGGCGTGTAGGAAAACCGCTGAGATTGGCACCAAGCCAACACTACACAACACCACAGCTAAAGACTGTATACAATGTATGGGGAACAGATGCATGAAATGAGAGAAGCTAGATATTTTTTTTAACTTGGGTAAAGTACACCTGGTTTTACGGTGACCTGACCTAACTTGGCAGAATTTCATCTGTCGCTCTTTTTCTCATACAGTAAAGGGAGAGAAGCTTGCCCCTGGGTGCAGCATGAGTGAGTTGAAAGGTTGATGGCTCTGGGAGGCAGAAATTCCCATGGTGCTAGTGAGTACTGTATGCCCATTGAGTATCGGTGCTGATTCTTCTACTAGGAACCTTCATCTCTCTTCAACTACGGGTGTTCAGTACAGTATGTGGTTTGTCTATCCAAGTTCTGGTGTCAGCTCGACGACCCTGATGGTTGATCTTACACTCTGGACGTGGGAGTGTTTTTTTAAGGATTGTTTTGGTGCTGCGTGTAGTATAATTTGACGGTAATGGTGGATTCTGGGCCAGTGGTGTTGAGCATTGTTACGGTTATGGTGGAGAAAGCACACATGACTCATGAACCCAGTAATAAGAAAAGTGGGTGAACCGCCCCTGACGAGTCATGAGTGGTTTCTCGGTTCTCACTTAACTTTGTGTCTTATGTATGTGCATGCTGATTGGGGTATGATGATATCGTGCCATTATGACTGATCCATGTTTTTGTGCAGGTTATTAGTTGCCATGCTGATAGTAGGGGTGTCAAGCGATGAAAGATGTGTTGAGGGATCAATCCAAATGAATTATTGTGCTATTAATAGTGGTGTTTAGCGATGTAAGTTGTGTTGAGGGATCAATCCAAATGAATTGTTGTCTCTTGTGCAATTAATATTTTTTTAAGTGCTGTAAGGGCGGTGCTGTTGATTAATACAAGTGTCATATCATTACCGTTGCGTCTCTTTAACCCCAGTCTCAGGAACACCAGTCCAATTGGAATTCCGTTCGGTTACATATATGTAATTGCCTATTCTTCTCCTCCACTTCCTCCCATCTCCCTCACCTCCTCTCTCGTTTCCCCCTTTCTTTCATCCCTTCCCTTAACTTACCCTCTCCCCTACTCCTTCTATCTATCTTCTTTTTTATGGTTAAGGTGGGGAAAGGATGGAAGGCTTGCTGGGGCTCAAGACACAGCCAGGCATGAGGGATAGAGAAGTCACGACAGATAGTCGTTGGGGGAAAGGTTGGAAAAGAAGTTTAATGAGTTAAACAGAGGGGGACGACACCCCTTGTTTTAGATATTACAGAGTTTGTTGGCTAACTAAGCTAACCTAGGATTTAGAATGAGGTTGCACAATGGTTACTTTGGTTGGTAATGACTAGTTTGATTTTATAAGTACATGTTTATTGAAATCTTATTACTGTATTACGTTATGGACTCACTAGATTGTGACTTGTTAAATGTGCTCTCCTTTACTCCTCTCATTCACTGTCTCTCCTCTCCTGTGTGTTCGTGGGGGATATTGTTTTTTTATGTGTGAGGAAAGAGAGGACACATCTCTCTCTCTCTCTCTCTCTCATTTCCCTAACACCTCTCCTCCTCTCTCCCTCTCTTCTGTTCCACTCAGCCCACCTCCCTTCCTCAATCCTTCCTCTACCCCCACCCCCCCATCTCTCTCTCTCTCTCTCTCTCTCTCTCTCTCTCTCTCTCTCTCCTCCCTCCCTGTGAGAGTGTCGTGGCTGGCTATGGTTATTGGTCCTGAGGAAAAATGGGTCTTCCTCTTTCTAGTGTAAAACTCCTAACAAAGGGGAGAGAGGAGGGGAAGGCAGTTAACGGAGGGCTGCAGAAGGGGGAAATATATGTCCCTTGTGGTAGTTAGCTCAGAACGGATGACCATCACCTGCTGACACGTGCTAATATCTACTAATACTTGCAAACAGCACGTACACTCACCTTATCCTTACTTCTGGGCACCTGTTAACACCTGTACAAATCTGATCTCACTAATGAACACCTTAAGCATCTGGCAACACCTATAAACATCTACCTTATTTATAAATATATCTAAACATCTGTCAAACCAGGTAAATGTACCCAATTAAACAAAATACTATGCTCAATTGGACAAAGGAATAGTCAACACCATCTTCAGTAAATATTTTTTCACCATTTCGGAACTTACGATGTAGCGCGAATCACTGTTGTGAACTCCCGTGAGCAGGAGAGTTTTGCCTGCAATATTAATTTACTGAGCTGAGGACGCCGTGGATGGTATAGTATTGCCAATTTCCACGGTTTAATTTGAGAAGTTTGCGGGGATATCGGCGATATATTTACACACTCGTTGGAGTGTTTGGGTGGTCTGGTAAATGTGTGTCCCGTCTCGAGGGAGGAAAAACGACTTCGGTTCCTCGTTGAGTTGGTTTACAACTGTGGTTATGAGGTATACCTGTGGTGTGGATGGACCTTTAGTTTAAATTTACTTAGGATATGAAGTGTAGATTGCGATAACAGGTTTGTAATGTCTCGTAAGACAAAATATACATTGGTTTAAATGTACACAAATCCAGTTACATACAATTACGCTAGTGACACAAACACACACAGTCACAAAGAAATATATGATCAACAGTTATTTGAATTATTTATTTTTCATAAACCCTTAAAAGACGGGTGAAGAAAACATAGAAGTTGTAATGCATAATTTAATCAAATCACAGCCATAACAATCATTCAAGGTATCATTTTTATATCTGAGGGATGGCAACCGCGGCCCTCCACTCTTAGCCATTAATAGGATTGTCTTTACCAATCCTCCCAGGTTTTGCATCTCTTTGGGGGACCACAATTTTTAATTCCAGTCATTGATCTCATTCTCTGCCTTCCCCCTGCCTTTCCGTGCATCTAAAATCACAATAAAAAATCCTCAAAACACAAAAAATACAATCACATCACTATAAAATTCCACAAAGCCACAGCCGCTCTTACCCTGGAATAAAATCCCTCACACACACACACAAATGCCAATCATAACTTCGGCCCTTTGAATACGACGAGCTCTCCCCTTGAATAAGATGAAGTCGTACTCAAGAGGTTAAATTCTTGTCCTCTCTGGCCTGGGTAAGTCATCATAATCAAGTGATTATTAGTTCATTGTGTATACTGTACTTACGGAATTAAGTCATCATAATCAAAGAGTTAATTCACCGTATTCAAGAGATAAGTCATCATCCTAATTGTGTAGTAATGATGTACCAAGCCTGACTCCTCATTACCATTGTCGAGTACCATCAACAATCCCACTAGTCTTAGATGCTCCTCATTTCATTGGCCAGCACAGCCAGTCACAAAGATTATGATTGGTCAACGTGAGGCTGCGACCTTCCTTCACTCCCTCCTATATAAACACGACGACACCTGCGACGAGAGAAACACAGCAAAAATATTTACTTTCCTTATAATTTGACTGTTGTTTATATATAGCAATTTGACCTAATTGGAGTATGTGCTTAAAAAGCTTACTTGTTGGAACACAGAAGTACATAGAGACAACAACCACATATACAGAGGTAAGAACTACATACATAGTGATCAAGGCGTAAAAAATGATGGCGTATATTTCTTAAGGGACTGTAAAAAAATCAAGGAACTTTGTAAACAAACTGAACCAACAAGATGTGAAAACTAATTCTTGCACAGTAACTGCCCACTGAATATGACACCCTTCCCCCCACTCGTCCTCTTCCACCTCCTGCTCCTCTACCTCCTCCCCCTCCTCCACGCCCCTTCCACCCCTTCCCTCTATTCCTCCCTCTTCCCCCTCCTCTTCTCCCTCCCCCTTCCCTTAATCTTCTCCTCTCCTCCCCTCCTCCTTCTTCTCTCCTTCCCTACCCCTTCTTCCCCACTTCTTCTCGCTCCTATTCTTCTTCACCCCTCGTCTCCTCTTCCTCTTTCGTACTCTCCTATCCACTCTACCTCCCCTTCCTACTTCCCCTTCTCCTCCTCCCCTACTTCTCCTCCCCTTCCATCCCCCATTCCCCCTTTCACTACACTTCCCCTTACCGCTCCCCTCTTCTTCTACAAATCATTAAAGCGATAATTTACGATTCCTCAAGGTGTACGAACATGACAAAATTATCGTAAAGCAAATACGTAAAATCAAAACAGAAAATGCGTCGTCACTCTATTAACCTGAACAGTGGTTCCCTTAACTTGTCTCCTGTAACCTCGTGCAATCAGTACTGTCAGATTTTTTTGTACAGTTTTCGACGTTCAAATTAAAAAAAAATGTTATTTTATTAAATATTAGGGGACTGACACTTTCGTGTTACTCTTTCTTGGATAAACTGACAGATCTTGATTGCTGCCGTGACAGATATTGCTAAAACACTGGAGACAGACAGACAGCCAGATAGATAGATAAATAGATAGATAGATAAAAATCTATGATTTACATCCATAATATTCAATGTTTTTGGGGGGTCAAACGTTCAGTACACACTGTTCCATAACGGTCATTTTCACACAGTATTTTCCCTCTTTTTTTTAATCTGAATTCAGGTCATTATATTCGATGGACTAATAAACCATAAACATTATGCTAAGCTTACGGCAAGAAGCTGACCCAAGTTATGTCACTATACTTGTGTATGACTTACTTTTATTCTGTGTCTCAGTCTTTTTGACCTTCTTCTTCTTCTTCTTCTTCTTCTTCTTCTTCTTCTTCTTCTTCTTCTTCTTCTTCTTCTTCTTCTTCTTCTTCTTCTTCTTCTTCTTCTTCTTCTTCTTCTTCTTCTTCTTCTTCTTCTTCTTCTTCTTCTTCTTCTTCTTCTTCTTCTTCTTCTTCTTCTTCTTCTTCTTCTTCTTCTTCTTCTTCTTCTTCTTCTTCTTCTTCTTCTTCTTCTTCTTCTTCTTCTTCTTCTTCTTCTTCTTCTTCTTCTTCTTCTTCTTCTTCTTCTTCTTCTTCTTCTTCTTCTTCTTCTTCCTTCTTCTTCTTCTTCTTCTTCTTCTTCTTCTTCCTTCTTCTTCTTCTTCTTCTTCTTCTTCTTCTTCTTCTTCTTCTTCTTCTTCTTCTTCTTCTTCTTCTTCTTCTTCTTCTTCTTCTTCTTCTTCTTCTTCTTCTTCTTCTTCTTCTTCTTCTTCTTCTTCTTCTTCTTCTTCTTCTTCTTCTTCTTCTTCTTCTTCTTCTTCTTCTTCTTCTTCTTCTTCTTCTTCTTCTTCTTCTTAACCACTTCTTCTTCTTCTTCTTCTTCTTCTTCTTCTTCTTCTTTGCTTCTTCTTCTTCTTCTTCTTCTTCTTCTTCTTCTTCTTCTTCTTCTTCTTCTTCTTCGCTTCTTCTTCTTCTTCTTCTTCTTCTTCTTCTTCTTCTTCTTCTTCTTCTTCTTCTTCTTCTTCTTCTTCTTCTTCTTCTTCTTCTTCTTCTTCTTCTTCTTCTTCTTCTTCTTCCTTCTTCTTCCTTCTTCTTCTTCTTCTTCTTCTTCTTCTTCTTCTTCTTCTTCTTCTTCTTCTTCTTCTTCTTCTTCTTCTTCTTCTTCTTCTTCTTCTTCTTCTTCTTCTTCTTCTTCTTCTTCTTCTTCTTCTTCTTCTTCTTCTTCTTCTTCTTCTTCTTCTTCAAATATATACTTTCTCAGGAAACATTGCGCAACTAGTCATTAGCAACAAAGGAATGAAGAGCATTGTTGATTACCCTGATGGACTAATATGATTTCATTTAGAAGTAATAAAGATTTTTGGGGGGAGAAGTATTTTGCTGATTTTTAGTTACTGATTTGCTGAGAGATTATTTTCATTATCTTTTTTAACCTAATTTTATTTCTTCATCGTTTGTTTTTGTTTTTTGTTTTCATATATATGTTTTTGTCGTTCTACAGTATGTTTGTCTATTTCTCCGTTTTCTCTTTCTCTCTCAGTGTATTTATCCTTATATGTCTTTTTTGTTTTATATTTTTTTAACCATATGTCTGGTATTTCTTCCCTTCACCACAACCCCCACACCCACCCCCCCCCCAAAAAAAAATAAAATAAAATAACTACGACCTTTCCCCAACATAATTTTCTTACATCTTATTTGTTTTTGGTTCTTCTTCGCTTTGTTGTTTTTTATTTATTTTTATTTGTCTAATTATTTTTCTTTGTTCTTATTCTTCTTTCACTTTATCCTTTTCCCTTCGCTTTTTCTTCTTCATTTTATATATTTTTTTATTTTGCTTATTTCTTCCTCTTCCTTCGCCTTTTCTTTTTTCTTGCATCTGGTTCATAAAAAAACACCTCTTCAAGACTCCTCAGATAACAGCTTGGGTTTGTGGTGTATAATTGTCAGTCCACAGTCGCCACCACCACCGCCTCCCGTCTGGCAAAAACTAGCACAATATGAGCGTTTGTTTGCGCTCTGAAAAACTCCAATAGCGTCGTTCATACTTAAATTGCGACTCTACACAATGGTCTGTTCGCTCTTCAAGGAATTTACAACGTCAATGTATTTCCAATATTCGTGGTGCTGCATTCGGTAACGACACTAAGACTGCCAACCCATGTTCTCTCACGTGTGTGTGTGTGTGTGTGAGTGTTTTTCCTAAGCATCATCTGAGGTGTCTCTGATAAATCCAAGACTCTGAGAGCCATCTAGCAGGTGAATTCGTAACTGATGGCTTGAAACCGTGCTCTCATCCCGTCCGAAAATGACTGAATTTATCAATTTTGCTCAAGGAAGCGAATATAATTTTTAGAGATGTGAAGATGTGAGAGAATATTTGTGTTCGGTACTGTACTGTGTTAGAATCTGCTCTTCTGTCACGTTTATTAGTCTGATATTCTTCCGATATTAAGCTATTAAAACCGCCTTCAATCGCTGGCCATTACTTGCTTCAGATAGCAGTGAAGTAATTGACCCGCCTCCATAAACGTCTAGATTGTCGAAGGAATGTTGTGAAGTCTCCCATTCCTCTTGGCAGTTCAATCAGACAATTACCACAGAGTTGAGCGGGCTCACCTGGCGGGTCGTCTCTTGTAATATTTCAGATCACTTCCTGTCTGTCGTAGTGTACAGTCTTCCAGGTGATCCGGTTATCGTCCATTTGAAGCTGTATCACAATAATTTTCTCTCTCTCTTTCAAGGCTTCGTTCCACACCCTTATGCTGGTTACAGAAGTTATTTTTTTATATTTTTTTTACTAAATTTTCGTTCCATAATTATAGATTCTTCCATAATAATTTGTAGTAAATTTATACCACTGTATACTCATAACAAAACACCCAGGATGCGTTAATGTGGTGAATTTTATGGTGAAATAAGATGTAATGGCTAATCTTTAGGAGATCCAAAAAAAATGTTCTACACAATATATTATACTGAACACATGTCAAACAAATCTTCAGGTGAGAGAAGACAGGTATAATTATAACTTATAATACTTATAAATTATAAGTAACAGTAAGGCAGGATTGATGGCTGCCAGCTGTTCCTCACACCCACCAGGTCACTTGAGGAATGCAACCAATGAGTACTGTCAGTGCGAGTAAGTAGCCAGAGATCCGCAGCTGATCTCTACTAGTCTACAGTGTTCATACAATACATATACAAACACGTATAAATATTTTCAAAGTATTTTTTTGTACACTGTCTTTCAAGATTCACATTTTCCACGTTATTAAATCATAATACTTACTAAATTTGGAGGGATGAAAACATCCGACTTCATAAATATCATGTGGACAGTAAGAGTATTTTATAGTAAGTCTATCTAACACACACGGGCGCGTTACACATTAGGAAAGGTCATATATATTTAGAATATGATTTTGAGGCACAAGTGGTCATACCAATATTGACGTTTACTGATCTAAATGGAGGAAATTTTCAGTTATCATGTGAAACAAATACCTGACTTGTGAAAATAATTTATTTGTTGCATTGCCGTTGTACAACTTTATTTTCGATGTTTTATGAGAAATACTGTTGGTAAAATTGCGTATGTTGCTTCAAGGATTAAGTTATAGAATTTCCTGCAGATTTTACACAAGAGTCGCCACAGTTCGCCGTAATATTTGATTCTTTTATCTTCTGGAGAATTATGTTGAACTGTGAATCTTTAGGTTAGCTTATCCTTACTCTTCTCTACAGATTTTATCACCTATATTCTTGTGTAAACGCATAATTGATGTCAAATATAGACACAGTAATAATCAAAGGGTGAATTAACCATATATGTTATATGAAACAAACACAACTTCCAAAATCACCCTCTTCCTCACCGCAGCTTCACAAATTAGTGCAACCGTATTTTTGTTAGGGCTCAGGTCGACGCTCTTCCGTACTGATCACCTTTTTTGTGTGTATGTGGTGTGTGTCGTCAAGAGAGCGGACACATGTTTTTTTTTAATTTTTCCACATACAGCGGCTAGTTTACTGTGTACCCCAT